ATATAATATATGGGACAGAAACGAGACTATCAGTATCAGCAACTTTTGATTGTTTATTCGTTTGAGAAAGGAGAAGTGGTCATTTAGTGAAGGAAACAGTAAGACATACATACAGAAATAACACGTTAACTTTTGTAGAGGGAAAAAGATCAGATGAGAACAATTTTGTAAAACGCAAACTCAAACAGTGCAGCCATAATCTCACAGGGTATGTTAAAAACTGGAGGGAAGCCACCACGTTATTTCCCATAACATATGCATTGTTTGTGCAGCAACAGCAGCAACAAAAGCAACAACAACAATGACACCTGAATCACCAGGAATAGATTGTCTACCATGTTTGTGACCAGTAAATGTCCCGCTAAATGCGTAGACAGTTTTGAGTTGTAATCTCCCATCAAAACAGCCCTTTCATTTTGAAGGACAAACTGTGACCTTGATGCCATGAGAGCAAATCTATTAGTCAACAAAATGGAGCAAAACACACCACCGTGCTTTAGACAACATCAAACATGATAATAGGACTTTAAAAAGAAACCCAACATAAAACAAAATAACATTTTTTTTTTAAAGAAATATATATAGCAAATAAGACAAGGCTTTGAAAACACATAAAATAAGTGAATCAACACTGTAAAAAAACCCACACATATAAGATAACACTTTTAAAAATCTACATAAAACATATGCGACAACACTAAAAACAAGAAGCATGTAAAATAATACAAAAACAATCATCACAACACTCATGAACACATTTTCTGTTTCTGATTCAAACAGCCATGAACACTTTGCCATCACAAGGTTCATATAGTAAAAACCCTTGCCATCACAAGCATTTTGGGGAAATCCAAAGAAGCTAGGTGGTAAACATCGCTGATCTGTGTTTTGTGATGGGAGCGGAAGTTCGGCGTTCTTACCGATCAGCGAGATGTGACGGCAAAGTGTTAAAGCTAAATCTTGTAAAAAGAGACCTTCTATCTTTCAAACATAGAAGAAACAACATTACACTCATGAAGCTCCATACAGTAAAACTCCTACAGAAAATTCGTGATAAACTCCATCATCCAGTGACTAGAAAAGTAAATCCTTAAAGTTAAAGCTCCAAGCCAGACTCACTGCAAAAATTGTAAAAGCAAAAAAACAATGTGATAGGTCAAACTGAAGACAAACTGAAAAACAGCTTTTCTTTTAAAGAATTTGAATTAAAATTTCTTTTTGTAACTTCCTTTAAAATGTTTTGAAGAAAATTCAAAGTAAATAGAATAAGAATCTTTACCAAGACAACAACAAAAAATTAATAAATAAATAAAAATCTTCCTCATCACAGAAACGAGCCAAGTTGTAAAACTATTGTTCGTCTACGGGTCATCTATCGGTCATCTCATGCTTCACTGCAGCTGTCTGGAGACACTATGGGTCCGCAGCTACCAGACTACAGTTTGGAGGATGTCCCTTTGATGAAGCCTCGTAGATGTTTGTAGTAGGACGGGTGAACCTGTGG